GACGGCGACGGCGACGACGACGACGACGACGACGGCGACGGCGACGGCGACGGCGACGGCGGCGGCGGCGGCAGCGACGGCGGCGGCGGCGGCGGGGGGGGGAGATGGCGCCGCCTGGGCGCGCGCCCGCAGCGCCGAGGTTGCCCGCAGGTCGGGGGGGGCCGTGCGGGAGAACGCGAATCGAGGGCGTGGGCGCCGCGGGGCCCCAGTGGCGCGCGGCCCGCCCGCCGGCGGGGCCGGGCCCTCGCTGCTGGCGACCCCCTCGACCGGGGGCGCCGCGGGGCGCTGCCTTCCGCCCGGGGCCCGCCTGCGGGGGGCCCGCGGGGCCAGATGTAAGTCGGGCCTGTCCCCCTACAGGAGGATTTTCAACGAAACATTAAAAATGCACGAAAAATACTGAACAAAGTCCAAACATAGTCTGGGGACTATTTGGGGAATATTTGTTTTGCCTTTTTGGGGTATTTTTGGAATATTTTGCATTTTTCGTGGAAAATCCCCCAATAAGGGGACAGGCCCGACTGAAGGCCAGACCGGGGGATGGGGGGCTGGCGGGATGCCGCCGACGAGGGCGAACCTCTGCAGGGGAAACCCAGAGATCCAAAGTCGTGATTCTTTCCATGCGCGGTCCCCTGATGTCATCGACCCCTTCCCCAGGATCGGTTTTGCATCCCGAGTCGTCTTGTTTGACGGTCCCGAGGCCCAGCGAGGGCCCCTGGGCGCCGAACTTTGCGAAAACCCCCTCCGCCCTGCTTTTGGTCAACACGTTGGCTCTCTGGGAAGACGAGCGGCCACCAGGGCGCGTTGGGGGGCGTCGTTCCCAGACCCCCGACGTCATGATTTTTTCATGACGTCGACCCCCCGAGGTCTCGACCCATTCCCCGGGACCAGTTTTTCGTCCTGAATCGTTTCTTGACGGTCCCGAGGGCCGGTGAGGGCCCCCAAAGGCCAAAAACAGTGAAAAACCTCCCGTCGTGATTTTTTCATAACTCGAGGGGGTCTGGGTTGGGGGCCGAGGAGGCGGTCGCGAGGCGCGCCCCTGGCGGAGGCCCCGGGCGGAGAGGCCGCCGCGCGCCGTGGAGGGGGCGCCCCGTGCCCGGCGTGCGCGCCGCCCACCGCCGGGCCCTATAGTGCCGGGTGGAGGAGGGCCCAGAGAGCCACTGGAAAAGTCAGGAGGAGGAGGAGGAGGAGGGGGAGGAGGGGGAGGAGGAGGAGGAGGAGGGGGGCGGTGGAGGAGGAGGAGGAGGAGAGGGGAGGAGGAGGAAGGAGGAGGAGGAGAGGAGGAGGGGTGGAGGAGGAGGAGGGGGAGGAGGAGGAGGAGGAGGAGGAGGGCCCGGAGAGCCAATGCTCAAAAAATTACCCCCCAATGCTAAAAAATAGTAAAAAAATAGTCCCCGTACTATTTTTTACCCATTTTTGAACATTCCCACTGTAGAGGGACAGGCCCGACTTAAGGTGGGCTTCTTTCGGTTGGGGTTCCCAGTGTCGGGTGGAGAAGGGCCCAGAGAGCCAACGCACTGGAAAAATCAGGACGGAGGTTTTTCGCAAACCTCGGCCCCCATATAGGGGCCCCATTGCCGGGCCTCGGAGCCGTCAAAAAAACGGCTCGGGAGGAAGAACCGGTCCTGGGGAATGGGGGGTCGAGACTTTTGGGGACCGCGCATTGAAAACATCACGACGTTGGATCTCTGGGGGGGGGGCCGCGCATAGTGCGCGGCGCCCAATCATGCTCCACGCCTCCACGACGAAGTGCCGGATCATGCCGTCAGGACCGTGGTCCGACGCCCGGGCAATATTTGGGCGCTCGTTCGCAGCCATTGGGCGGTATCGTTTGACCGATCCCTACGCCCATCCCCATCCCCATCCTGCGCCCCACCATCCCACCACCCCGGTCGGGGATGCACTCCTCGAAACCCAAGAAGGAAACAGCCGCTATCCCCATCTAGGGGGGTAAATCTTCAAAAATTGGTCGACTCCCCCGCAGGCCCCCCTTGGGGATCTCCTGACCCGGGTCAATCCAGACCGGGGTCAGCAGGAAACCAAAAGGACAGAAAAACTGCAACGCAGGTCTTCGCAAACCCGGGTCAGCCAATATGCGCGGCCGCCACGAGCGGCTCGCAAACCCGGGTCAGCCAGAGGGGGTCTTCGCATGATCCTGCAGGATCCGGTGCCCTGGCTGACCCCCGTTTGCATTGACCCCCGTATCAAATCTCCCGACCCCCCAGGGAGCACGCCACGCGCGCTCCGGGCCCCCTCGGCTCAGGCCCCCTCCCCCCCAGGCGGCCTCGGCCGCCGCCCTTCGGCGGGCCCACGCGGGCCCTCGCCCTCCCTTCCAAAGACCCCCCCTCGCGCTGCGAAAAAATCACGACGGGAGGCGTCTCGTCTTCGTCGTCGTCGTCGTCGTCGCGGTCGTCGTCGTCGCGGTCGTCGTCGTCTTCGTCGTCGTCGTCGTCGTCGTCGTCGTCGTCGTCGTGGTCGTCGTCGTCGTGGTCGTCGTCGTCGCCGCCGCCGCCGTCGTCGTCGCCGCCGTCGTCGTCGTCGTCGTCGTCGTCGTCGTATTCGTATTCGTACTCGTGTTCGTCGTCGTCGTCATTCTGAGTGCGTCAGCCCAGGTAGCCCGGCATGCGCAGGCGAAGCTACGTACCCAGTCCCCCTCGAGTCGTGAAGCACGCCGCGGGAGGTTTTTCTGTATTCCCGGCCTCCGGGGGCCCTACCGGGCCTCGGGACCGTCGAAGAACGACTGAGGACGGAAAGCCAGTCCCCGCGGAAGGGCCGACGTCGTGAAAAATCACGACGCCGGGGGTCTGGGCTCTCTGCCTGCTACCCCACTCCTGTGGGGTCCCCTGGCGCGGCCAGACGGTTTACCTCCCAGAGACCCAGAGATCCGATGCCGTGATTTTTTCAATGCGCGGTCCCCGGAAGCCTCGACCATCTCCCCAGGACCAGGCTTTTCATCCTGAGTCGTTTTTTGACGGTCCCGAGGCCCGGCGAAGGCCCCTAGAGGCCGAAATCTGAGAAAAACCGCCGTCGTGATTTTTTCAATGCGTTGAATTTCTGGGGAGGTCGCTCCACCGGCACCGCGCCGGAGGAAGCTGCCTGGGGGCCCCGCCGGGCCCCTGCGGCCGCCCTGGCGCACGCGCGGGCGCACTGCGGCAGCCCAGCTCACCCACACGGCTGCGCCCCCCCGCGGCCGCCCTGCCTGGCAGCCCCCTGCCTCACGCCCCTGCATTTTTAACAATATTTTTTGATTTTACAATTTTCAACAACAACAACAACAAAAACACCAGACTTTGTTTTGACTTATTTTTGAATATTCCTCCTGTAGAGGGGCACGCCCGACTTAACAGTGGCATCCTGGCATGAGTTCCTGGCCGCCTCCTGACTGCCTGTGCCGTTTCCTCGGAAGAAGGAAACCTGCACGACTACGAGCCTTCGACGGTCCCGCACTCGCCTCACGCACCGTGACCGTGCACCTGGCCCGCCTGCTGCCAACGTCGGCTCGGGCGACGGCGCGGAAGAGGGCCGGAGGAGAAGGAGGAGGAGGAGGAGGGGGAGGAGGAGGAGGAGGAGGAGGAGGAGGAGGAGGAGGAGGAGGAGGAGGAGAAGGAAAAGGAGGAGAGGGGGGGGGGGGCGGAGGAGGTGGAGGAAGGAGGAGGAGGAGGAGGAGGAGGAGGAGGAGGAGGAGGAGGAGGAGGAGGTGGAGGAGGAGGAGGAGGAGGACGGAGGAGGAGGAGGAGGAGGAGGAGGAGGAGGAGGAGGAGGAGGAGGAGGAGAAGAGGAGGGGGGGGGGCAGGAGGAGGAGGAGGAGGAGGAGGAGGAGGAGGAGGAGGAGGGGAGGAGGAGGAGGAGGAGGAGGAGGAGGAGGAGGAGGAGGAGGAGGAGGGGGAGGAAAAGGAGGAGGAGCAGGACTTTCCAGGACTTTCCCAATCTGACAGGGTCAGAACGGCAAGATGGCCTCGCCGAGAACGAGGACGCGAAGCGGGGAAGCCCGCCACCCCTGCCGCACGTGCTCGGTGGGGCCACCAGGGCCAGAACCCACCTAGCAGGCGCAGCAGGGGGGACGGGGCCCCGTTTGGCGCCCCCCCGAGGCCGCCCTATCCGAGAGGGCGGCCCTCCATCACACGTGAAATCACCCAGGCCCCCATCTTGGTGGGGGGCTGACCGTTCTGACACTTACACTCCTCCGCAAGGCCTCTCAGATGTCCTCTCCCTCTTAGAGCTCTACACCCGCATGCCGTACAAACCCAGTATGGTTCAAAATACGCAAGGCAGTGGGACGGGTGACCAACTCTCGTTCCCATGGCCAATTGCTGGGCTTGGGCTTGTCTGGGCAGCTCAAGAGGGGGTCCAAGGCACTCGGAGGTCAACCAAACATCTAAATCTTTGCTACCGGCTATCTTACTGAGCGACGTGTTGCAACAATTACAAGACCACCTAGATTTCATATCAATTAAAATGTGTGAGGTCTTGGCTTGGGCTTGGGCAAGGGCGTTGGGCTTAGATCTATGTTGAGCCCTTCGTACCTGTCTCACCGTGGGGCCCGAAACTTCATTCTCAAAAGCAAAAAAGAGTGGCTCTTAAAATGCGTCTTCTAATCAAACAACCTGTGGCGACGGCCCATTTATAACAACTCAAACGTGCTTCTGGGATGCTATGCTCATCTGCCGCTCTCCCTGCAAGATCGTCTGCTGCTTCGTTTCCCCTCCACGCAGCGGCGGGGGCTCCCCTGGCCTCGGCCTCCGCGGCCGACTGGTGGCTGTGCATGAAA